CTCGTCCTATCTCGGCCATTGCCAAAACACCGCAAAGAACGGGCACCTTGAAGACTTGGTGACTGGTAAGCTCTTGTTACCAGTCAACTCGGAAGTTGTTAAACTCCTGATCCCCCAAATTAGAATGATCGACTTTGTGACATTGGTTTGGATGCGCGATGATGCAACAGTATGCGAGCTACTGAGAGTGATGCTGACCTTGTAGAAAGTGAAGCAATTCTGCTTCGATTATGGACGGCTTCTTTTGTAGCGTCAAATTGCTGCATATGTGGTTTGAATCACACAGTACGAAATTGACCTTGAGTTGATTCGCAGTGTCCTGATCAGACGTCGTCCAAAGTCATTCAAGTCATTATCAGAGAAGAAGTCATCTCAAGTTCCCGTGAGCCCACCTCTTAATCACCAAAGTCCGAGGTGAGCTGTGGACAGTCAGACCACAGACCTAAGCAATCATATTCTGGCGAACTAGCAATGTGTCTAAGAGAAGTGGAGGCGTGGGGAAAGGTGTTCCCAAGCCATTGGGCTGGCCTCTTATTATTATTGGTTTAACTGGTACGCTCCCTGGATCTAGATGGATTTGGGACTTGCGACTAAAGACTAGCCACCAACAGATCTTAGTTGAACTATGTTATGTGTCAATTCCGAGAGGCGAGGTGGTGAAACACACCAGAACTGTTAGCTGTTGCGCCTGAGGTTAAGGCTGAGTTTGCTTGTGATTTCCAAACGCTCAGGAACGATGACCTCATTCGCGGGTTTTCAATCGGCCTGAGAGAAATTTTTTTAGATGTCTAAGACTTTAGGCCAGGCACCTTACTTTGTGCTGCAGCAGACGCAACCAATTAAGCTGTTGAGTGATGATTGCCATTGTTTTCCTAGAACCGCGTTCTCAATTTGATGTCCGTAATGCTCGACGGTACAGAACCGATGCAATTATCTCGGGGTCGTCGTTGATTCGCTTCATTTGGTGATTGTTTCGACAGGGGTAGTTCATGGACAACGGGCGGGAGAAAGCCATACAAATTCAATGGCTAGACAATCGCATTATTGATATGTGTGGCTATTGATCCTTCATTATAGGACTTAGTGAACGCCGTATTTCTAGAACAAGACAAAGATGAGGAAAAAATTGCTTTCCTCACTTACCTGCTTTCTTAACCTGTGAGGAGTCGAACCTAGGCGAGATAGTATGAATGGTGTAGTTAGTCAATTAGTTAATAAGCATATTGAATTGATAGTAACTTGTAGTGAGTGAAAAAAAATACAGTCAATGTCTGCGCCAATAATTGTTATTTATCATTCGTTGATGGAGCTTACTGTAGATACTGGAGATAGTTGGTAGCAGTAAGTGTACTAAGGTAATGGGCCGCTAAATCGAGATTTGGATTGCTGCCGTTTGCGTTGTCATGGAACACTTCATCATCTGCAACGTCTTTTTGACAGCTCCATCATGACACTGCCGTTGAAAATTGTGATTTAGTTCTTTTCCATCACAACGGTACGGGGAAGCGCCCTGGAGTGGCTTGTTTGCGACTTCAGCAAACTGCTGTAGTATGCTGATTGCTGCCTCGTTAGGCCATCTATCGGATGGTACTGTGGACACTACCTTACCTATCTGAGGTAGGTACTACATACCTTACTCTATACGTCGTTACAGACACGGCCAGCCCACTTAATACCACGCTTCATCCCTCCGAATGACCCAGATTCAACCAAACCAACCCCTTTTAAAGAGACAGCAGCTGTTGTGTTATTATTATTATTACTGATGTTTATTATTGTTGTTATAGTTGAGTTCATATTAATATCGCCTAGTGTTATGGTGGGCCATTATTGATTTAATGGCCCATTTGCTACCTAGGAAGTCACCTCCATCCACAATCTCCAATCATCCAATCCTCTCCCTGGTCTCACTCACACCTTTACAGGATCGGGAACTCAAAAAAAAGGTGCTACAGAGTTACACTTGCAGACTGCTTTTATTTCTTGCTTTTCCCTTTTTTTTTTTCCCCCTTCTTCCCTATGCCCTTTCGTTCGTATCCTTGCTAATACTTACAATTGACCAGGGGGACAGCCTGACAAGACAGTCCAAGGGAATAATTTTCGCCTTCCATCACGTATTTCTGGATTCCTTCTTTTCTGGGACTTCCTCCCCTATCTTATCCCCACATCTTTCTGCTCATCTTAACTCCCCTTAAAACCACCCTCTCCAAATCTCCACCTGCCTTCGTTCTAAGCCCAAACGGAGCACTTTTCTTCCAAGAAAGTTCATCATCATCTTCTCGACTCTGTTGAGTACGGAGTAGAGAGAAACTTTGCCTAGATACTCTAGTAGGTAGCATCTCCGTTCGGAGAGCCGGAGCGCGCAAACTGGTTCACCATCTCCAATTTCCTCCCGATTCTGTGCTGCAGAGTGCGGACTGCACAAAACCCCTATCTAATCCTCCTAAATCATCCTCTTTCCCACCCCAGTTGGCGTCTTTAAGCTTGGCTTAGTCGCTGTGCTGGACCCGCCATTGCTGTGGACTGCTCTCCAGGCGCCTTCGCTCTGCGCGGAATTCCCGACAAGCTGGGTCCCGACTCTTGACCCTTTTCGCAAAAGAAACTTGTGCTGCTACTTTTTCGACCCGCTGACACTGCTGCTGCTGGGATAGCTTCGATCGTTGCTCTCTTTTTCCCCTTCCATCCTTCCCAGGTATCCTCAACTAAACTTCGCCGTGATGGCTTCAAAGGTACGCCGATCATTCGAAAATCCTGTTCCCTTGTGTCGCTTGCCGCCCCTTTTTCCTCTCAACATCACCGCATCGCCTCTATCCCTGCGTATCTTGCCTTCGATCAGCCACAGGTTCCCAGGAATTAGATGTATCACAAATGACTGACAACTTTTTCAATTGCAGTTCCTCAGAGAGTACAAGCTAGTTGTTGTCGGTGGCGGTGGTGTCGGAAAGTCATGCTTAACAATCCAACTGATTCAGAGTCACTTCGTCGACGAATACGACCCAACAATTGAAGGTGGGTGGCTTCTTTGGGACAGTCATTGACGACTTGAGTGCTTATCAAAAAACTTTCCCCCTACTGTATAGACTCGTACCGCAAGCAGTGTCTCATCGACGATGAGGTCGCTTTGTTGGATGTCTTAGATACTGCTGGACAGGAGGAGTACTCGGCGATGCGTGAACAGTACATGCGAACTGGCGAAGGCTTCCTCCTGGTCTACTCGATTACATCTCGGCAATCCTTCGAAGAGATTATGACTTTCCAACAACAAATCCTGCGTGTGAAAGACAAGGATTACTTCCCTATCATCGTGGTCGGTAACAAGTGCGATTTGGAGAAGGAAAGAGCCGTTTCTCAACAAGGTAGGCGATCCTCCAGAGTCTTTCTCTCATTCGACCTTGGCAATATACTGATTAGGCTATCTGCTATGCAGAGGGCGAGGCTCTGGCCAGGCAATTTGGTTGCAAGTTCATCGAAACATCCGCAAAATCCCGCATCAACGTTGAGAACGCTTTTTACGACCTTGTGCGCGAAATTCGTCGTTACAACAAGGAGATGTCGTCATATCCGTCCGGTTCTGGTGCCGCAGGCACACGTGCCCCTGAAGGCAAGATGGATGTGAGCGAGCCCGGCGACAACGCTGGCTGCTGTGGAAAATGCATTATTATGTAATTGGGTCGACGTTGGTTTGCATGGTTATAAGGCGTGCAGGTCAATATGAAGGAAGGAAGTCGCCGAATCCGACGTGAAATGAAGGAATAAGAAAGAAAGAAAGAAAGCAGAAGAGTGTGAGAGAGAGAGCTATGCTTGGCTTCAGGAGATGAAAGCCGAGACTGCGGTGTGGCCATACACCTGCATCTGTGACTTTTCGTACTGTACAAGGCTCGCTATCAGGTGATGTCTGCTCTCAGCATGAGGTTGTCATCGTCTCCATGACCGTTCGATTCCCCCTTTGTTTCTCTGTTTAGTCTTTTTTTTTTTTTGGAAAGATTGTTCTCTTGATGAATACCCGTTCCCTTGGCACAATGAGGGATGAGCCTGTCAATAGATTGTGCATTTATATAGGTACATGCTATTGTCATGGTTCACATCTTGGTACTCATTTGCGCAGCATCGCCGTTTCTTTTGTTCTTGTTTCTTATGTGACCACCAGGACGTCGCTGTCTCTTCCGTGTCTTCGTTACMTATTCGTTTTCCGTCAGATCCCTCCTCAAATTTCCCCTGGCGCCCAATTTCATCCTAATATTTCAATCATATGCAGCGAACGTGGCCCTTTCCCAAAGGCTTCTTCAGGAGAACTACGCCTCTCGCCTTTCTTTCTTGCTCTTCAGCCCCAGTGAGTCTACATGGATGCTCCTCTCTCTTATTTTCCTTTGATGGCATGTTTTCTATCCATATTCCTGCATATATCCTTGTCGACTACTTTTCTTTTCTCGCTCTAGAAAATCTATGGGGCTTTTAGAAGAAAATCTGGTTCAACGGAAACACAAGGTCTGATCAAGGTATGGATTCTTAAGGAGTTCCCTTGTAATTGACATAGAACATCAATGTAGGATCGGCATTGTGCCTATAGCGTACTGTAAAGTGAGGAGCTATGGATTTCCTTTTCTGGTTAGTTTTGTCACCTTCCATGAGTGTGGTCATCTGATATGACGTCCTGTGTACTCCATTTCTCCGCTCTCACTTTAACCTCCAGCTTAATCAGTCACAGCCTCCTCTATAAGATCGGCTCATGCTCCTGTATGGCAGTGGAGAAACCAACAAACTCCCCATCCAGAATCTCCCGCGCAGTACTGTGCTCTGTGCCATAGAATCCCGTCAGCCATGCGCTCAAGAGGCAGACAAAATGAGATTTGAAAATAGATCAGCCAAGAGAGTCTTGCTGCGCAAAGAGCACTATACAGCCGCGTTATGGCAAGGGCCGTCATTCTCCGAGAAAACTATGAGGTCTTCAGTGTGATTGCTTAATACTGTCCAAAGTGGGGAAAGCTGATAGAGAAACAACCATGAACACGTTACTCATGTGGAAATATGCCATTCATTTGCTTCAGTCAGAGTGGCCCGCTCTCCAGAAGCCTCCTCGAAAACAGCATGAGCCTGTTGGACCTATTCCACCTAACAACCCCCACGATAACATTATAGTTATCCGTGTCAAACTCCTGCCCATTCACCCTATCATCCCATTGATTGCCCCACCCCTTGGTCCCAGAGTTGAAGTCCACATGGGCACACGTGGACACAATATCCTCCGCGTACGTTCCCAGGTAACTACAGCTCGGCTGGATGTACCACGCGTTATCATTACACAGCCAGATAGCAGCGTTGTAGGAGCAGCTGATGCGAGAACACACGCGCGGGCCGGCACCGACGCCGCACGCGCCGCTGAGTCAGTCGATTCCTTGCATGATGGTCACAGTCGAGCATTGTCCGCCTTTGTCACCAGGGATGTTGCAGATGACGCCGGATTGGGGGTGCTTAGTTCACTGGCCATTAACGGGAGAGGGAATCGGATGACGGACCTTGTTTCTTTCCTCGATATCGCGAGCACTGAGGCTGCTGTCGTTTTGGCCGAGCCAGACGACGAACTCGGGGTTGACGTCGAGGATTTGAGTCATGACTTCCTGGAAGTTGTCAGTCTGCAGCCTTAGGGCGGATCTATGACTGTGAAGTTACCTGGATGGTTCCTTGAAGGTGACCTCTGGCCTGTCCGGATGTGGCTTTCCTGTCCATTCCATGGGGACGATGGTGTATCCTTCGATTGGAGAATCGCGGACCATAAGAGCGCCCTACCCAGCAATGTCAGCACCCTTGAGCGTCCTTTGTGCCTTGAATCTCATACCTGGGACAGAGAGGCCATTGAAGCCGCGGCAATAAGAAGGCTTGAGGACTTCATCTTGCGATTGAGAATGTTTTGAAGGGAATCTGATGTGGATGAGTGAAGGACAGGGATGTTCCGGTGGACATATCGTCCAATTTATAGATTTTGCAAGACAGTCAGAGGCAGGGAACTGGTTTCGCTTTTTCCAGTCTCCGGGAGCATTGGGCCAAAGGAGCAACCAGGGTCCTCCGAGATGGGATTCCCCGCTGACGCTTTCATGATTGCACTTTGAGCATCATGCAGGGGTGTATATTGAAGTGGATCATGGAGCAGCGGTCAGAGCTCTATCCGACGTAAGACACGGCTCAGTTGAATCTGCGTTGAGAATCGAGGTGGAAGCAGGAGCGAAAGAGATCCATACTTCGAGTGCTCTGGAGGACCTAATTGATTACCCATAGAGGAAACACTTCGTGCTGGTCTCTCTACTGCTGCAAAGCGCTCGAAGCTCTCAAAATGTCCTAGACAATTCATGACTGACAGTGATGCCGGTGATCAATCACCCGTCATACAAACCCGCAGCTGGCTCGTCCCTAATCAATTTCTTCCCTAGATTGATCAGTCACTCTTGCAGCAGCCTTGACCGAGGAACCCTGCTCCACTGAGCTAACGCAATGTTGGCTTGAACTGGTTGACCAACAAAACAAGCATCATTCACTGGACAATGCGATGGTTTCGGTAAACTTGCTATCAAAGACCGTCAGATCCGTACTTCCTTCTCCTACTATCGGTCCCTTGACCAGCTAGAATTGGTTGCATATTGCTCCGGTGGAATGAAGTCGCTTGCGGCTCGAGCGGATCCATGGGCCATGATTGAGACCAGATACTATAAAAAGGAAAGTCTGGCGTCCAGCAGGCATGCACTAATGGTACAAACATGACTCTTGAGGTTGCATGGAGTGATTTCCGCGATCCTTCAAGGCTTGGCTCATCTATTATATTGGCTTAAGGCGTACAAGCACAGGCTTAGCTATAGTTCATTCCCAAAACGCGGGATGGATAGTTCATGCTACTATTTACCCACGAATGGTTCGTTGGCAAAATCCTAACATGTGCCAAGTTTCTCTGTTTGATTGGCTGCTCGAGTATGCCTAATTGCGCTTATTTTGTTGTCGTTCTCTATGTACTGCCTAAGACTTCTTAGATTATCAAGGGTCCCATCAAAGAGGCGCAGCACACACAGCCATCAGACAAAGAACCCCAGGATGCAATACATGTAAAACTTGATATCTACTTTGCTTTGCCTGGACGCCTATCATCCAAAACAATCATCAGCCAGAGAATATCTAATCAGCTCTACTGTCTGAAAGACAATCATGTCTACACATAGCTTCGACACATACAACGACAGACACGACACCCTGACACTTGATCGGAGAGTCTCAGGCGAGACATTACACGAGGGAGCGTCCCAAACTCTTCCAGTTGCCCAGCACTAACACATACAGCACCCTACCCAACCAAGCCCAGTCTATCCTCAAAGAGCGAAAAAGCCCAAGCGACAACCCCAAGCAGCTCAAGGATGTGGCCAAGGACCCGGAGTGGATTGACTGTCTCTTCTGCCATGAGCGCGCTTTGTCCAGGGTCGAGAAGAAGAGTAACGTGGGCGCTGCGTATATCGTGCCATTATTTTTCTTTCCCCCCTCATTTTCGATCCTTTCCCTCTAAACTAATTAGTGAGCAGAGTCGCGTTCACGGCAATGAGTGCAGTCTCTGTGCTGGTTGGTGCTGGTCCTCAGTGGGGTGGCGTGCGTGATTTTACTCATTATTGCTTGAGGTGTGATCGCCAAGTGGCTGTCAAGTACCATTCCAAGGGCAATGCAGATGTCTTTAGTCCGGAATGCTAGAGTTAGATGGCCATTGAATGGTCATTTCGTGCGAACTGCTTCAATTGCACTAGATGACAGTATGTTATTTCCCGCTGATATCGGAGCAGTTATGCCTGGAAGTCACAGGCCAATACATGAGAAGATGTTTCACAGACGCATAGCCTTAGGTGAGTCTCAGAATAGTCAGGGACTATATCACTCGCTTCATACCAATATGAGACGGATCCCAAGGTGAGACATCTCTATTCATCAGTTACTACCACCAAGGTCAACCATTGTTCTTCCTTTCTAGGAACCAGTCCAATGTTATTTGCTACATATGCAGAATTTATCTATCAGTCGAAGATTGTACACACAAAGATCATCCCGAAGGCAGCCTGTAGTACATCTACTCTGCCTCAGATGGAGGGTCCAGCTCATCCTCCCGAGATACCTTCTTGCCGTTGACGTTTTCCTCGACCTCCGCAATCACCGAGTCCATGAAAGCCTTATCTGTTCCGACCAGAGTGACGGTGTTACGCTTGTTGCCCCAACGAGGGTAGCTGCCGACTTTGACGCCGTGTGCGCTGGCCCGGGCAGCAAGGTCCGTCAGGTACGGCGCGACGGCGCTCTCAGGGAGCGGGGTGCTGAAGAGGTAGCGGTAGATACCTTTGCCCTCCGGGTTGGCTAGCCGTGGGAGCAGAACGGGCTTGAGGTGCTCGAGGAGGCGCTCGAACAAGCGAGGCACGCCGGGGAGGATATGCACGTTACCATTGACGACGGCGATAGGCACCCACATGTCGTCTGCAACGAAGAGGGCTTGTGATTCCGCGGAGAGGTTCTCGTCGTGCGGGAGGTAGACCATCCGGAGCTTTGCGGTGAGACCGGGCGACGGGGTGTCCCAGTCGAAGTGAGGCTGCATGGGGTGAGGCTTGGAGAGTCTCTTCATGCGCTCGAAGGCGAGGGTGTGAAGTTTGAGTGGCAGGTTGAAAGCCTTGGCTATTGATTCGTAGGTAATGTCATCGTGGCTTTTGGCGGGACACGCGGTGGAGAAGTTAGCTTTGAACACTTGCAACACAATATGAGGGAGATGTCAAGGACGTGGAGGTGAGGGCGTGTACGGACGTTGGCCCAATGCCTCCACTGGTCACAACAAAGTCGTAGTTGTTGCTCATCCGTCTCACGGCCTCAATGATCTCACCCTCATCGTCCGCAATGACTTCCACTCGCTTGAGTTGGATACCGAGTGAGAAGCAGTATTTAGCAAAGAAGGCCGAATTGGTGTCGATAGTCTGGATACGTTGACATCAGAAAGCTGTTAGTCATTTCCATAACTCAGGCCCATGGGACTTCTTTGCAGAATCATTTGCTGATTTTGTGCTCCGATCACATAACCTTCGCACGACAGGAAGAAAAAGAGGTCTCACCTTTCCACCAAGGACTTCATCACCAATGATCAGACATGCCGCCGTGTGGATGGTCTTAGATGGACTGGGCACGACGGATGATGTCATGATGGAGGACGGTTTGCTGGATAAGGGGGACAATGAGGCTCGCGAGGTGATCGGAGAGATAAATTTGGTCCTAAGCAATGGCCGGGAAATATGGCGAGAAAGCTGATTGAGACGATTTAACATGGAGAAGGAGGGAGATTGCGGGGGAGTTTTGCGGGTTGAGAAGAGCCCTGGCCGCGGGATATTGAAGACGATTTTATGAAGGATTAGAGGGAGCGGGGTGGGGATCTCCGATCAATCGCGCACTGCGGCGCTCTTCTTCATCGCTTGCAAACGCGGAGTATCTTTCGTATCATCAATCTTTCGCCTTAGACAAGTTTCTCCGCCTCTAGTGCAGACTTATCAAACGGGCGCTTGAACATCTTCCCCGGCTTTATTTGTATCGATTGGCTGTCTTACTTTCTCTATTCTCCCAGCAACATGGTGAGCTCCGTCTGCCCCGCACATGCCTTTCTGCAAGGAAAGATCTGCTGCTGATGATATATCTCTCTTAGTCTGAATCACGATTATACTCATTTTCTCCCGAGACAAAAGAAAAACTGCGCAAGTTCCGTTTGGGAACCTCCAGAGCGAAAGATCCGCAGGCGGTCATTTGTAGGACACCCATTTTTTGCTGCCCTAGACGACAAGCCATGCGCTACTTGCCGACGCAAGGCACAGAGGACTTCATTCTTGAGATGCGAACTTTCACAAAAGGCAGAAATTGACGACCGATCTGGCAGATATCATCGATTCCAAGACACAGGAGATCCGAGCCGAAGATGGCGAAGTCTACACGAAAATGGAGGCTCTGGCCGACGAGCTCCCTGAATCTTCCCCACGCTTCATTCTTTTGAGTTATCCCTTGACCTTGGTAGGTGGCATCCATGCTGGAGGCTCCAAGGCGCTTTCCCCCTCACTTTTGTCCAATGAATGTTCATGTGCGAAACTAACTTTTTCTCGTCTCACCAGGGTTCCGGTCGCCTAACGGTCCCTTACGTCCTACTCTACTACCTTCCCGAAAATTGCAATCCATCCATGCGAATGACATATGCCGGCGCTGTGGAGTTGATGCGCAATACCGCAGAAGTCAACCGCGTGATCGAAGTTCAGGATGAGGACGATATACTCTCCATCGAATCGAAGCTTCAGGGTTCGGATTAATCGAGCTGTAGAACGGCTCGTAGGGCATGATACTATGGTCACTGTGATATTCGGCGGCGGCTTGGGAAGATTGACGCTACGTAACGATCGTACCGGCACTGCACCTTTCTCTATACGTGTTAGTATTGCGTCCTAAGATGGCCATTGAGTTGGATTATTTTGCGGAGTGATTGTCCCTGTTGACCAGGATTCTGCAAATCTGCGAAGCCGCAACGACATACCGACAATAGAGCATTATCCATGCAGCCACTACATATATCCTATTTCCAGATACCGTCGAATCATTGACTTCCATTTTATTCCTTGCA